TGTCATCAATGATATATACAGTGGACCATGAGGCAAACTTCATCAAGATTTCAACCTGGCAGGCAGTAGGTACGAGTAGTATAAAGTAAAATATTATCTAAATTGTCTAAACTGGTCTACTTTCCTAAGAATATAGTTTTCCAAGAGAAATGTGTATGGTTGAGTTTTGGATGGGATGGATAGATTTAGAAATATCTATTGAATTGATTAATTTGGATCTTGACGTGGGCTGTTATTGAATAGACAGACAATAATAGGTAATAAATAATGATTAGCTTTCCATGCCATCCCGAATAAATAATGTGTCGGTCGTAATCTCCGTCCACCACGATTATCATAGGTTGAGATCCACCATGGGTTATTTGGCACGAATGAATAATGAATACCTAGGCGAAGAATTGAAATCATGACATCTCTTCTATTTGTCTTGTTGTTGTTGTACTTTTTATCTTATTTTAGATGGATGACCTTGAGAGGTACAGTAGTTGGACAGCATAGAGCATAGCTGAAGTTTATGTGAGTTGGCATTAGCAAATGCAGTGAAAGTAAAAGTAGGTGCTAGCTATCTAAAGTTTGAACTTCAAACTTCAAACTTCAAACTTCAAACTTCTACGTGAGTTCTACTAACTAGCTAGGTATATCTTGTTGTTGCATACCTACATACTTGAGCGTTATGGTATGACCTCAGAAATAACGCAAATCGCAGCTACCTCGTAATCTGAGGGAAACAGTGACGCAGTTTTCGCAAATAAGATACTCGTAGCTTGGAACTTGTAAACCTGTAACCTGTAACTAACTGGTGACTTGCTTGTAACTCGTAACTCGCAACTCGCAAGTTGTACTGGTCCAGGACTCCAGGTCCATTTTCTCAACGAAGCCACCAACCTAGCTGTTTCTCATAGTGTGCTGTGTCGTATATATTCACTCGTATGGATAATACATAATACATAATGCTATGATATGATTATGATTATGATACCTTACAAGTTACCACGCTCCCACTCTACTTTAGTCTCTCATTCGGGCTTATGCATGCATGCACAATGCTCGACGGTCGTGCGCTTCTTAACCTTCTCGCCGCTTTTGAAGGTGGGAAAAAAGTATAAGGAGTGGCTAGCGAGCGAGGGAGAAAGAAAAGGAGAATGGGATAAAATAAATAATCGTCACAATCACAATCATAATTCTAATAAAATCGAATAATGAAATAAAATAAAAGAGTGGCTTGATATTCATTTGCATGCTCAAGTCAATAACTAATGATTATTGGTCATTAACCTACGACGCATTAGACCTTTCCCTTCTCTTCCCTTGAGCCATTCATGACCGCCTCTTCCTCCATGCCCTTTCCATACCCATGACAAATAAACTGTCCGTACCAGGACCCTAGTATTGCGTGGATGTGTAGACTATTCTATTCCATGTTCAGTAATATATCTCCTCGACTCTCTCCACTTCCTCTCATACCTGGCATAGTACAGTACCACCCGAGCCACCAGAATGAATCCACTATGGCCACTAATCTACTAGAATCCGTGTATTAGTCCAGAAAATCAAAAAGTTCCCGAAGAATCATCACTTTCTTAAAGAGCAATAGCGTCGAACACGAAAATGCTAGGATTCCGAATCCACAATCGTACTAGATTTAGAAATTTCCATGCTACTCCATCAATCTATTCGTCCATCCCATCTCAATCGCTGCCGGTTCCCCCAGACAGGGTCCTGGACGCCGACTCACCACATCCACACCTATCTCACCCACTCATTGCTTTCTTGTTCCTGGCCCACCCGTTTCCCATGCCTTCGCCTGAGACTTGGCCTTTCGGTCGCACTGCCTATCTTACCCTCTATCACTCTCGTTGATCTTTCGAGATCTTTACTTTATTTGCAGGGTCCCGTCACCACCTTCGTTTGTTCATCTTGTCTAGGTTTCCCTCATCGCTACCATATTCTTCTTATACCGACTAACGGTTTCCTTTTTGCAACTCAATCTTTTGGAACATCTTCGACTTGCGCTTTTTTATATTATAAGCCTCCTCGAACTTCTTCTGTACCTTCCTTTGGCATTCTGCTATTGCTCTTGTTCTGTTATCTCGCACTTCGATAATCTACTACTATATTGCACTGAACCATTGTGTCGACATCAATCAATCCTTCTACTTGACGAGCCTATGTATAATCAGTTACTCCAACATTGCCATTATTAGACAGATCTCCCTGCAGCTGTTGTCCGCCCCTCATTCATTACTTGCGAAGCCTTGTATTACTTGATTTAGCATCGACACCTTGACCAACGTGGTCTGCCAACACAGTACCTTAATCTACCAAACCATCCTAACTAGAATTCAAATCGGTACGTTGTGCTTGGATACAGGGTCCGAGGAATGCAAACTGACGTCTTGCAGACCAGCCGAGAAACCAAGGGATATTCACCATGGACTCTTACGCACAAGCAATGGGACAATCCCCATTTTTCTACTACAACCCAGACCCAAAATCAGACAACCGTCAACATGGTCACTTCTCTCAACAACCAAGCCATATGCCTATGCCTATGTACCACCAACACGCTCAAACCCTCCCATCGACACCAATGTACTCCAGACCAAACTCTTCGTCTTCGCAGCCTCCAATGCAGCAGAAGATCTTCAACTCTGGATACCTTGGACACATGACACCAATGTCCTCACCACGCCCAATGTACCAAAAGCCCACCATACTGATTCAAGATCATTCCCCAAGACTGATCTTGGATTCGGAAAACGAACACGACATGTATTATTACCCAGCAACCCCACCACTTTCAGCCTCCTGCAGTGTCATGAGCAGTCCATCGAGCTGTGACATTCTACCCACCCCAGTTAACAGTGTATTTTTTGGTGCTGAGAGTTTTGAGGGTGTTAAGGAAGGATGTGAAGGTGAGGTTCAATCGGAGAATCTTGCCGGTGAATGGGCTCGTTGCGGGTCTCCACCTATGACACCAGGTATGCCATTTCGATTTTTATCCTCACCACCTTTGAAATTGTTTGAGAATGGATAACGACAGCGAATTGCGATTATCCATTTGATAATCCGCATAAAAATTGTTAACGTTAATGTTTTCAATATTTTGATGCAATAATAATAATTTGATGAGAATAATTTACTGACGAGGCTACCAATTTTCAGTGTTCATCCATCCAAATTCGCTTAGCTCGCACGCTAATGAACTCCTGTCTGCCACTTCTTGCCCTTCGCTTTCACCTTCTCCTTCCCCTTATCCTCGCTCCGTCACCTCTGAGCAATCCGACTTCGACTTCTGCGATCCAAGAAACCTCACAGTTGGTTCCTCAATTTTACCTCCGACTTCAAATCCAATTTTGACTTCGGGTCGTGAATTCTCCACTTTACCAACCCTCTGTGCAGCTGAAGAAGAAGAACATCAATACATGTTAGGGGGTAGTGACGCATTCGCCAAAATCGAAACACGTGCGAACACCTTTGATTTCACAACAACATCCAACCACAGTCTTCCTACTTTTGATCACATTTCCGAGCTCGATTCCGAAGACGAATTTGTTAATGGTCTTGTAAATTTCCCTTCCACCGATAACGTTCAATTCTTTGGTAACAAGAGACAACGCACTGTATCTGATCTCGTTTCCCCTGAATCAGAGACGTTCATCAGTGAGGACGATTTCGAAGATTTTGAGGATCTCGAGACCGAAAGATTTGCAGTTGCCTGCCTTCCAAGCCCACCTGCTTCAGGCTCTGAAGCTGAACCCAAGAAGGAAAAGCGTGCGAAGAAGTCAAAGATCGTTCATTGCGACGAAGATAGCTCGGAATTTGATTCTATGGTCCGATCCCGAAAATTCACTGTCCCAATGAATAACTTATCGGGCGCTCAGCCACAAGAGACCTCTGCCGACCACCAACAAACATCCACCGCACCAAGCCAATCCGGTTCTTCAGAAAGTAACAACATGATGGGCTCATCAGGATCAGACGCTGCCAACACTCATCAAGCACCAGTCAATCGTCGCGGTCGCAAGCAATCCTTGACTGAGGACCCTTCCAAAACATTCCACTGCAAGCTTTGCAACAGACGTTTCCGCAGACAAGAACATTTGAAACGTCATTACAGATCCCTCCACACTCAAGAAAAGCCATTCGAGTGCCACGAGTGCGGTAAGAAGTTCTCCCGCAGCGACAACTTATCTCAACACTCTCGCACTCACGGAAGTGGTGCCATTGTTATGGGCGTATTGGAAGATGGCGAGGTTCCTGGCGACATGGAATCTGGCAGCGACGGAGAGCAAATCAGAGCCCTTGGCACCGCACTCTTCACTGCAGCCGCAGGTGCATCTGGCAGTGAAAGCAGCGGTACCGATAGTGAGTCCGACAGCCAATCCCGCAAGAAGCGCAAGAGATCAGAGTAAAAACGGGTGTACGAATACTTGACCGGCCGGAGTACGCCGTTTACGAAACTTACGAACACAAAAATTAAACAACACTTCATATTGGAGCTTGCGCATTGCTTGTTATGTGTTGGACATTAGGGATAAAGGTTACATTGACGCTGTCACGATGATTTGGGAGGATTGCTTGAAACACAAAAGTCACTGTCCCGTGTATGTGTTGCTATTTTGCACACTTTTTTCACCATTCTTGTACTTTACTTTACTTTATTCAACTTTGTATTTGTCGTCAGTTTAGCGTGATGATGGATGGTCTAAGGTACAACAACCTTTTCAAAGCGTGTACTTTGATGATGGGAAGCAAGGGAAATTATTTTCTTACATTCGTTGTAATAAATATCAGTGGAGCTGTGGATGGAAAGCGGGCGACCGTCTCTGATCTTTTGCTTTGCAATTTTCTCTTCAGAATTACTTGCGTAGCTCTTGGGTCTTGCCTTGTGCTGGCCAGAATGTTGAGATATACCAACAGACTACAAATACAATAAAATAAATACATATCATAAACATAAAACTATTCTCTCATCATAAAATTGTGACTCAAGTGACCCAAGTGACCTCAATGATTGTGATAGCCCGCTTTGCAGCAGAGTGGTGTCTGGAATGCCTGAGGCATATAAATTTAAAAGCCTCCAGACCAAGTGATTTGAGTATTCGAATTGATGTGAACATTTGATAAGTTCAATAAACGTTTGAATCGGCTTGATTACACTTATTAAGAGCCAAAATTTATGATTTCGTATTTGAAATAATGATACGAACGGAAAGTTGAGTAGTTCCCGATATCAAATATCAACAACGTCTAAATTTTCGTTTGCCCACTTTGTTCTCACGAGCAAAACCTGAAATCCCACACTACCAACCTAAAACAGATAGAGTCATGTCCGCATCTCTCAACGTGATCGCCTTGGTATCGGGTGGAAAGGACAGTTTCTTCTCAATATTGCATTGCATTCAGAATGGACATAAAATCGTTGCTCTAGGAAATCTCCATCCACCTCTCACTGAGCCACAAACGGAAGAAAGCGATGGTATTCACGAGGATGAAAATGATCTTAATAGTTTTATGTATCAGACTGTAGGGCATACAATTATTCCATTGTATGAAGAGGCACTTGGTATTCCATTGTACCGACAGGCTATTCTTGGTAGTGCTATTCAAACGGGGACAAGTTATGATCATGCGGATCTCACGAGTTCTGGTGCCGAAGAATTGGTAGAAATGAAGAGTGCGGATGGAGATGAGACGGAATCTCTGGTTCCTTTGTTACAAAGAATTAAAGATGCGCATCCTGAAGCAAATGCTCTTAGTACAGGCGCAATACTATCTACATATCAACGAACACGCGTGGAATCTGTAGCAATACGATTAGGACTCGTGCCTCTTTCGTTCTTGTGGCAGTATCCGATTCTTCCACCTGGTATGCAGATTTCTCTTCTGCAGGATATGCAAGCTGTAGGATTGGATGCGAGGATTATCAAGGTGGCCAGTGGTGGGCTCGATGAGAGCTTTCTGTGGGAAAATGTTGCAAGTGAGAAGGGGATGCGGAGAGTGGAAAGAGCTATGAAAAGATTCAGTATTGATGGTGATGGAGCTGTGTTAGGTGAGGGTGGGGAGTTTGAAACCCTAGTTGTGGATGGACCGAGTTGGTTATTCAAAAAGAGAATAGTGGTGGAGACAGAAGACACAAGGATCGTAAGGGAAGGTGGAGGATCTGCTTGGATAAAGATAAGTAAGGCTTCTTTAGTGGATAAAGAAAGCATCGAGAACAAGGAAAGCTCGTGTAGAGTACCAGAACTGCTTGAACAGAGATCTTTGGAAATCCTATCTGCGTTGGACAAAAATGATCATTCCTATGACCTTTCCACGTCAAGCACCCCGTGTAGCGGATCATTGGAATCGCCAACGTGGGAGCTCAAATCATCGACTGCTAACGGCATCGAAGGCGGCAACATGACACATTGGACAATTATACCAGAAAGTGCCTCTTGTTCATCGATATTAGATGAAGCCAGAAGTGTCGTGGAATCCATAAAGGCGCGACTTAATCAAGCATCGTTGAAAACCACAAACATCGTTTCGACCATGATAATGCTGCGCTCAATGGAAGATTTCACAACAATCAATAAGGTATATCCGAAACAGCTTGCTGCCTCACCAGCATACCTATCTAACACATCTATAGATTTACGGCACTCTCTTCCCTCACCCCAATCCAGCATCTCGCGTAACCATCTCTTGCGGATCTTCAATGCCCCTAAACATATCTCTAATTATTCATCTCACACTGCATATTCCCTCGGCTACCTCGTCACCCCGCAAAGCTCTACATGTACAATCGCGTTCCTACTGGGCCCCCGCCAATATCGGGCCATACTCCCAAGCCAGCTCACTCCCCTCGTCGCTCTCCTCCTCCCAAACCCTCACCATCGCCGGTCAAATTCCTCTCATCCCCCACACCATGCTTCTCCCCACTTCATTACCCTCGTCCTCATCCCCCTTCCACATCTCCACCATCCTCTCCCTCCAACATCTCCTCCGCATCGCAGACGCCACCTCCATCAAATGGTTCACCAGCGCCTGCATCTACATTCCCACCCCGCACCCCGAATCCTCATCCCCATCCCCCTCCTGCTCATCCGCCCTCTCAAAAATCGCCTACCAAGCCTGGAAACACATCCACACCCCCCCATCCCCAGATTCCGACCACGATTCCGACGCCGAACCGCGCGATCTCTGGGAAGAAAAGTTCCGCTACTCCAACACCACCCCCCTATCAAACGAACACACGACAACCACCTATCCTGGCCACGAGATCCTGCAATCGGATACCCCTACGATCCCACCTTTCTGGACCGCCGAGGTGGATTCCTTGCCCCGCGGAAGCGAGGTGGAATGGCATGCGCATGTGGGCGTATGTGATGGTCCCATCGATGTTTGTTTTCTTCTTTCTCTTCTTCTTCCCCGTTTTCTTGTTTCTTTTTTTTTCTTTCTTTTTTGCTTGCTGGAGTAATAACAATATGATAACTAACAATATCCACACAGGTAAAGAATGTCGAGACACACGAGCACCGCGGCAATTCTCTCACGACTTCTTCTACGCGTCATACTGTTCTTACTTTTCCTTCTGATGTTATTCCTTCGCCTGATGATCTTAAAGATGACTATAGTAATCGCGGGTTGATTAATCTGGTTTATGTGGATACATCGCTTGTCGATGTGAATAAACTTCTAAGTGCAGGATGGGAAGGCAAAGGAGTGATACCTTGTAAGAGTTTATGGGATGGCGAGGGGAGAAGATTAAGCACTGTGATTGTATTCTGGGGAGATGCGAGGTAGAGATGACAAAAAGAATTCTGTGATGTTGACTAGATTTTCGATTAGGATATCTAATGAATATGTGATGTGATGTGATATGATTGGTGATGCCAAACGAAATCTCGATATTAAGATACTTTCGAAATTGTCATGTCCCTATCTCTTTGCTGGACTACCAACCCCCACCACCCCCTTTCCCTCCAAACCCACCCTCCTCAATCTTCTTCATACCCTGCCCCCTTTGACTCTTCTGCTGTGCCGCCTCATGTTTCCTCAACTCTTCCGGCACCCTACTAATGCTGCTCTTTGTCAACATCTGCTTCAAATCATACATCGTATCGCTATCCTCATTGCCCAAGAATGTAATCGCCACACCACTCTTCCCTGCTCTTCCAGTTCTACCAATACGATGAGTGTAACTCTCAATATTCGTCGCCATGTTGAAATTCACTACCAACGATACATCCGGCACATCAATACCACGACCGGCTAAATCAGTCGCAACGAGCACATTAGTAGCGCCAGAACGCACAGATGCCAGAGCTGCTTCACGCTGTTCTTGAGTTTTGGAACCGTGGAGTGTAACAGATGTGAAGCCCATATGTTTGATATCACGAGCCACAGCATCGCAGTTGCGCTTAATGTTGACGAAGACAATGATAGGAGGTGCGAATTCACCCGAGGCAAGAATCTCATTGAGACGCTTCTTGCGTTTATCCTCACCGGCAACAAATTCGACGCGCTGTTCGACGGTCTCGACGGCCTCACCAATGTTACCAATGGTGACAATTGCAGGACGACGCAGATACTTTTTGGCGATTTTTTCGACTGCTGGAGGCATAGTGGCTGTGTACATCATAGTTTGACGATAACGGTCCTTGCCTCCCAGATGTCTACTCATCGCTTGAGCATCTTCTGCATCATCTGTATCTGGCTTTTCATTACTGACTGGAAGGGCATCCAAGATTTTATTCACAGATTCTTCAAATCCAAGATCAATCATACGATCTGCTTCGTCCATGATGATATAACAACATTGCCCAAGGACGAGAACTCTTCGTTCAATACAATCAACTAGACGACCGGGTGTCGCAATGATGATTTCAGCACCGTTACGAAGATTGTAGGATTGTTCTTCCAAAGAATGACCACCAACGATACTAACACAAGTGAATCCAAGAGGTGTTGCAAACTTCTTGGCTTCAACTTCAATTTGTTGTGCCAATTCACGGGTAGGCGCGAGAATAATAGCGTACGGTCCATCATTCTTCGTAAATTCGTTCAGTGGAGGCAGTTCGGAAATGTAGACCAGTAATGGTAGCAAGAAAGCCGCGGTTTTACCCGAACCAGTAACAGCAACACCGATCAAATCTCTTGCTTGTAACGCTATAGGGATAGCAGCTCTTTGTACCGCGGAGGGCTCGTCATAACCAACTTGATGGATAACGTCCAGAAGACGTTTTGGTAACTTGGATTCTGACCAATTCCGCATGGGGTTTGGAATCGCTCCTCCTTTTGTACTGATATTGAAATCTTCCTTGAAAATACGCCAATCTCGCTCTCGCATATGTTCCAATTTCTTCTCACTCCAGTGTTTGTCAAGCGAGTTCCTGCCGGCATCCTCTTTCCTCCGCCTCTCCATTTCCACAATTTCTCTTGCACGCGCGCCTCCAGCCTCCGCATCTCGTTCTTCTAAAGCCTTCGCATATTTCAGAGTTGCTCCTTCATCTTCAGCGAAACCAGCCAGTCTACCCCGACCATATAGACCTGCTTCCGCGCGGTGTTGGTAAATAGGGTTATAATCTGGGCTGGTATCCTCTTCGGCATTCCACTCAAAGTTAAACTTCTTCTCTGTCGTCCTTCTACGTTTCTTCTTCGCAGAAAATGTCGATTGATTTGTTTCGGCGCCCATATATCGCGTTCTTATCAGAGCAGCCTGAAGATCTTCCGCGTTCGCAGGTCGTTTCTCGCCAGCTACAGAAGCTTTACCCGTACCTGCAGCAGCCGGTTTAGCTGGTTTTGGCGGTGGCTCCATATCGTTCGACTTATCACTGGAACTCCGACTTTGTTGACTATTCCGCATAGCTCGAGGCCCAGTGGGTACAAAAGAGGAATCTCGACGCCCATTTTCCTGCTGATATGATCGTTCATAACCATCTCGGCCATTCGTAGCAGATCCATATCCGTTTCCATATCCGTTTCCATTGACACTTCCTACAGATATTCGGCTATCCTGTTCAGCCTCACGTTTACGCTTCTGTTCTTCGACTTCTTTTGCTCTTTTCTCAAGAGCCAGTTTCTCTCGAGCAGCTTTTGACAGAAATTTGGGCTGTGATTTCATATAATCAGTATTGGTTCCAGGAAATACTAGACATGCATTGTGAACATGGCTGCCAGCTTCATGTGAAAAGGAAAAATTACATACCTTAGCTGCGGCCTCATCCGCCTCTTTCTTCTTCTTCAAGATATCTTCGATGCTCAGTGGACCTGGTTTTGGAGCTCCCCAGCCCTTCTTCTTTTTGGGCTCAGGGGGAGGAGGCTGTAACTCGGAGGGAGGTGGTGGTGGAAGATCGCTGGAAGGAGGAGGAGGAGGAGCTAATGAGCTTGGGGGTGGTGGAGGAACGAATGAATCTGGAGGTGGAGGTGGAGGGGATGGTGGTCTTCCATCGTTATCGCTCGGGGGCGGCGGTATTGCATCAGTGCTATTCGAGTATCCATTCGAAGCCATGATTGGAAATATGAGAGGTAGAATGGGTGTCTCAAAGTTAAATGAAATCTATTGCTTTACAAATTTTCGAGGATTAAAACCTGCGAAAGAGTTGGCGCAATACAAAATAACTTTAATGATTGAATATTGAAGACAAGGCTGAAAGGTCGAGGCAACCAAAAGACTTCAGCTTACATAATCACCAATCATGAATTTTATTTCGACATCAACAACATCTCGAAACCTCAGCCTTTTGCGACAATCAAGATGCTGAAGCCCGTTCAATATGTGAAGCTTGCGCAATCGCTGCCACCGCAGCTGCAGAGATTTTTCGCCCGCTATCCACCTCAAGCCATTCTCCCGCAGGCCAACGCTGTGAACACAACTTCAGATGCGGCGACATCAGAAGCTGTTAGCAAGGCTACCTTGAAGACCGAGGAAACTTTGGATCAACCTACACACCCAGCAATTACAGAGGCGACATCGCCATTCAGGCCTCACAAGCACCCAGTCACTGGGAAGTGGCATGATCCAGTGTTTTCTCTGAGACGACAAGCGGATTTGTGTAAACTTGCAAGGCAACATGGAGTGGAGGAACTTTTACCTCTTTCTGTGAAGAGCACAGAGGAGAAATTGCGCAAGAGGATGGAGAATGGACTGAGGGTAAAGGGTACCGGTGTTGGACAGAGAGTCAAGGGAAAGGAATCCGAGAGAACATTGAAGTCAAGGTATGTTTTGTTACCGCATTTGATGGACTGGCCGAAGCTTTGATCTTGCTTTTTTTTTTTTTTTTTTGATACATCTACTAATTCACGGTTTGCAACAGATTGGAGAAGAGAAGAAAGGCTATGTTGGAGATGCCACAGATGATACAGACATGGAAAGAGGTCTGTCTTCCTATACTGATCCAAGTTAATGTTCGGCTACTAATGAATATCGCAGAGAGGTCATGGTCGTGGATGGAAGAAGTGGCCAAAATAGATATGATAATAAAGACTATTTGGCACAATGTCAGCCTCGTAGCAAGACTACTTGTTGTACAAACACCACATTGGGAATGACTGCATGGGAATGGGCGTTTCAAAACATTGTAGAATTGTGCAATTACACGCCCCCTCCTTCGCAGATTAAAAGAAAAAACATCTTTGATGAATCTCGGGTAGAAATTTTTAAGAATTGTATGCCAACTTATTGGATCATGTGAAGACGTATGTGAATTGAGGATCTTGAGGTTCTCTTTGAGATGCATCTCTTAACGGCACTTGGTAATTTGACACGTGCAATTTGATCGAATCGACTTCTTCCTGGAATCTACACCATACGCAGTCGATGGGACGAATGTAGCCAGCCTCTCGAAGACTTAACAATGCGGCAAATGTTTGGAATCCTAGACGTGAGAGACGCCATATATAGCAGGCTGTGTATAAATATCGATATACGCTATAAGCTTGATGCAAGCTGTAAACGCCAGCCTGAAGCCAACTCCATGTGTGATAGCGTTAGTGAAACACGTATGGAATGGTTCTCTCTTGAATCATTTGCCATCATGTTTTGATAGCATGTAAACTCCACATGGCCAGACCCAAAATTGATGAGTGGCCAAAAAAGATTCGCGGTGATGTGGATATATTTCGAGATGATAGCCGAATTTCTAACTCGGGGGGTTTGTCGAACCAGCCAAATTTTATGGATTAAAGATATTCCAAATCGCTCCTTTGAGTCTGTAACCGCGGATCAGACACGGGAAGGAATATCACATTTGCACGTGCTTCTATCATCCTCTTCTTCTACTCCCTCGTAGAGTATTGCGTGCGATAGAAGATACCGAGGTCTGAATAAATTGATAAGTGATGGCACGATTGGATACATCCAAGTCCGGAGGACTAGATAATCAATGAGATGAGGAAGGAAGGAGGGCTTGCGGGATATGGTATCATTGGTATGGCATGGCAATGGCATTTGGTATCCTCTTACAAAATAATTTGATCTCTTCGACTCTTCGACCTCTTCGACCCTCTCGACCCTCTTGACCCTTGTAGCGATCATTCGTTTTCAAGCCCCAACAAAAAAAATACAATACATGGGTCCTCAAAATTGTTGGGGAAATCTTTTCGGGTAAATGGATGGATTGGGTTTAGTCTCGAACCCTTTTCTGCAAGCTTGAGAATGCTAGGTATGCCATGCACGATAATACAAGGGGAACTCTATATGATGATGATGTGATTGGTCAATTGTAACATCAAAACAGCTTTCCATTTGTAGACAATATTCGTTCTTTTGCCCGTTTCATCGAATTTTGCTATTTCTTTCCAAATTATTGGTAGTCGTCGAGGGAAGTTGACGCTTGCTGACCACCTCACCTTGTTCTGGCATTCCATTCATTCTCAGCAAGTTTTTGTGTGAAGATGGTACTTTTCATGCAAATTAGAAACCCGCTGAAATCGATATATGAATAATGGACCTGTGAGGCAGAACACTTCTTTGGTACCTAGGTATTATATGGAGACACATTGATTTATCTGGGCTTTTCTTACGCAGGCTGAATGAATGCTGTGTCTACACCATCAAGCCTTCTACGCTGAATTGGTTGAGCGCCACTGTGCCACTGTGCCACTGTGCCATTAGTTGTGTATTTTCCGGATGTACTCTAGCGGTGAGTAAGTAATAAAGACAACCAGCTCATCGTGTTCGTGTCCCCACAGAAGGGATTCTCTCTGTCTCTTCGAGCAAGCTCCATATCCTAGAGCACTTTGAAACGGTCTACTTGTCAAGGGTTCTCCACGACGGAACCGAGAGATGGGTGGCGTGAGCTTCAAGTCAATCGGAATGTCCCTTATCAAAGAAGGAGGGACAAGATGAGGGGCGGGAACTTGGAAGGAGGACAAAAGGTTGGGTATCATTGTAGATGATGGTGGTACGTTTTGCAAATTGAGATAGATTGTAATAAACCCCACCATACGATATGATGTGTAGCTACAATGTCATGACAAGATCTTCAGACCCCCTTTCCCATGTCTTAACGACTTATTGTAGTGGGTGGGTGGTGGCAATCGAATCAAGGTAATTGGACTCTCAAGAGTTCATTTGAGTGGTCTTTGCTTGAATTGCTCCATACTTAGGTACATGAGTATTAATTGTATCACAATATAAGAGGATTTTTTGGAGGAAGAAAGTATTATAGATTTATATACTCGTACAGAATAGTCAAATCCAATACTCCATTCACACAAACAGTAGGTATCATAATGTGGAGATTCTGTAAACACGATCTTCCTTGACAACGAAGCTGGAAGAAGTTTTGTTGAAGAATCGAGTAAAGTCGTCGTCGTTCGAAATCATTTCACGAGAGTATCTATTTTGATTCTACAATGTACTGTGTTGATTGATCGATCGTATGTCGTAGTCTCGGAGTCGATGTGTGTAAGTGGTAGTATATAAAAGTATATTTGTATTTTGTATAACGTGGTTTATCAGCATATAAGCTATATCAATATATGAGCCATTTCGAAAATACACTAAAATCAAGGTTTTTTTAATATTTATATTTTAACCAAAAAAAATATAAAAAAATATAATAAAAATAGAATATTTATAATATTTAGGTTTTTTTTAATAATTTATTTTAATTCAAAATCTCTTTTTCTTCAATAACTTTAATACAAATTAGAATTTTGAAAAAGAAATTAGATTTTTGAAATGTTTGAAAAATCAGATTTTATATAATAGATTTTTGAAGAATTCTATTAACTAATAAAGGAAATGCATAATTATATATAAACGAATTTTGTATATAAAATAAAGTAGCCCATATGCTAATATAACCTACATGCTGATAAACTACGTTATATATTATACATTATACTTTATTAGACTCCTCCTACTCCTGCTACTCCTCCTAAATATTTTCTAGTGACTTGTACGTACCTAATCATCTCAATTTATATGCTGGTCCCTTCTTGACTCTTTCCCGTACCTTGTTTTAATCTGGAATCTTTGAAGTTAATACCTATGAGAAAGCGCTACGGGGAAATATTTCTTCCTTTTTTTTTTTCTCTCTCTTTTCTTCTCTTCCTTAAACTTTTTAGGGTCAAGCGACTTATGAACATCCCTTCAATTCCAATTCCTTACTAGGTATCTAGTAGGTAGGTAGTAGATACTCCACTCCACCCACTCACTCCACTCACTACTCACTTGATTCATCCCTCCATTCCTTTTCTTAAACCACCCCCTCTCCCTCTCCCTCTCCCTCTCCCTCTTATAAGTCCAAATTCCTCCCTTCAAATCTTACCTCTCTCCAACCTCTTTACAAAACTTAATACACATCTTGAGGAGTGTGTATCAAAGTTTGTAAGTATATTTCTTTATTATGTTACCCAACGAGAAAGCTTTCGGAAACTAACAAGTACTCCCAGAAATTTTATCGTTGAGCCTTCTTTAATTCATCCCACCAAAACCTCAACAAATTTGGTCGATTCACTTCACACTGCTACAACCTTGTCACTCACTACTGGCTCGAATATCAAAGTGATAGTTTCCTACGAACTTTCATTCTTTTTCTCTTAATTTTCGAGTCTACAAGAATTACAACACAATGGCCTCTACCACTGCTCTACCAAAGCGTAATGTCGTTCAAAGAACGGCGACCTCTTCCACTACCGAATCAGCTCCCTCGACAGCTGCCGGGTCACCCAATGATACCCCAAGACAATCCCCCTCGTCTACTTCTCTATCATCTATGTCGTCTTTAGGCGACGATGTTAAGAAAACCAAGCCATATGGCAGACTCATCGATACTTACGGCAACGAATTTGAGCTTCCAGATTATACCGTCAATGACATCCGTAACGCAATTCCAAAGCATTGTTACGAGCGATCTGGAGTGAGAGGTTTGGCTTATGTGGCACGCGACATTGCCAGCTTGGCCACCACATTCTTCCTCTTCAACAAATATCTCACACCAGAAAACGTTCCCTCAACTCCAGTCCGCGCTGTGTTGTGGGCTTTATACACCATTGTCCAAGGTTTGTTTGGTACTGGCCTCTGGGTTCTTGCTCATGAGTGTGGTCATCAATCTTTCTCGACTTCAAAGGTCTTGAACGATACAACTGGGTGGATCTGCCACTCTGCTCTTCTCGTTCCATATTTCTCATGGAAGATCTCTCACGGCAAGCACCACAAGGCTACTGGTAACATGGAGCGTGATATGGTTTTCGTTCCCAAAACTCGTCAAGATTATGCTACCCGCATCGGAAAGTTCGTCCACGAGCTTAACGAGCTCACTGAGGAAACTCCAATCGCAACCCTCATTCACTCAATCGGACAACAACTTGCCGGCTGGCCTTTGTACTTGTTCATGAACGTCACCGGTCACAACAACCACGAGCGTCAACACGAAGGTCGTGGAAAGGGTAAAGTCAACAGCTTCTGGACCGTCAGTCACTTCAACCCAGCCAGTCCTCTGTATGAAGCTAAAGATGCCAAATTGATCTTGTTGAGTGATCTTGGTATCGCCATCACCGTCGCTGCCCTTGTCATGCTTAGCAAGACATACGGATTTTACAACATGGCTGTCTGGCATTTCATTCCATACCTCTGGGTAAACCATTGGCTTGTTGCTATCACCTTCCTCCAACACACCGACCCAACTCTTCCTCACTACTCTGGCGAGAGCTGGAACTATGTTCGTGGAGCCGCAGCAACAATCGATCGTGAATTCGGATTTATCGGCCGCACTCTTCTTCACGGTATCATCGAGACCCACGTTCTTCACCACTATGTTAGTACCATTCCTTTCTACCACGCCGATGAAGCTACCGAGGCTATCAAGCCTATCATGGGTCGTCACTACAGAGCCGATGTTCGAGGAGGATCCCTTGGATTCTTGAAGAGCTTGTGGTCCAGCGCTCGTTGGTGCCAATGGGTTGAGCCATCTGAGGGCGCTGAAGGTGAAGGCAAGAAGGTATTCTTCTTCCGTAACCGCAATGGACTCGGTACACCACCAATGAAGCTCAAGGCATAAATTGAGTATACGAAGCGCTCGTAAACTCGAACTTTGGTGTAAGGGAAAAAGTAACTGGGGCCTGTGTTGATTTATCTGTTTTTGCATTGTTTGTTGAATTTCTCGGGGGATGGGGTGTTAGGAGTCGCAAAATATCTTTCACGCTACGAAATGATTTTGCACGTTCACTCGCTGTAATACGCGTCAATCGTTGTGGTGGTCGAAAACGAAGATTCACTGTTTCTGCTTTTCGTACTTCGAACTGCAAGTTAGATAGAGTTAGAATACCTAGCTAGATTAAAACCCAAGAAATGAAAAATTATGAACAACCTTAATCTCTTATCTATTTGCTCCTGCCTAGTGAATATGATGATACCAAAGGATCGAGTAGAAGATACCTAATTCCATTTTCAAACCTCGCGAGCATAAATTTATTTTCAAGGCTAATGTAGATACTTGGAATCTTCATCTTGATTATTACCCCATGTCCAGAATACTGATCACATGTCTTGCCATTTTCTCTACACACTAATAAGTGTGAAAGTAGCAATGCATAGACATATATATATAGCTACCTATGTTCGCAGGTAGGCAGGTAGTTACCGTGAAGATACTGGATGCCATTTGATTCACGAATTGAAGAGTCAGTTCCTAGTCGACGCGGAATTCAACATGCCATGTGGAAAGATTTATTAGGTAGGCTGAGAAGAGTCGACATCTAGGCAGGTTACTTGGGTAGTTGAGGGTGTATGTAGTAACTAGGCGCTTATATGACAACCCCCTCTCTCTCTCGTGTGATCTATAAAGAAAGAAGTAGTGGGAGGCGATGTACATTTACATGTATCAGGTGACAATTAATAGATAAAGTGATGCATCTTGGTAGTTAATTTTTTGGATGTTATGTATTCATTTAAATCGTCCACTGGCAGATATCTTGGAAAGTCCCCCTCGGGATCTGGATAGCATAGCATATTTTTCAACAGTATGTCGCCGTTCCATTCCCCCATCCCCTTCGCTGTCGCTGGGTATTTACAAGTACAAAAACTCTTGTTCACATACATACATCCCAAATTACCTCTCATATCTCGGTGGTAAACTTTCATGGTCTACTCTTGTTCCCTCAAAATGCTGATGTGCATAGCCGCTTCCATATTCGTCTTCTTCGTGAAAGATCGGCGCCGAAGGTTGATGGTCATGTGGTGCCGAAGCAGCAGCGCCCTGTCGGCTACTCTCGCCCTCCTCTTCCAAATCGGGAAACTCTGAGGGTGCGCTTGCTTCAGCTAGGAGTCTTTGACGTTCGAGTTCTTGTTTATCGTCTGTGGCGTGCGAGGTGTGTGAGGCATGCGGTGTGAGATCCGAGAGACTGGGGGCTGAGGGGCCAGCAAGTGGAGATTCGCTTAAGTGCGGATTCGACGGGTCAACTGGATGAGACGCAAGGGGTCTGGGGTTGCTGGGTGGTAGACCATCGGCGGTGTAAAGGTCTTCATCGGCTGGACTAGGGGCAGAAGGTCCGGTACTGCCCCTTGCTGCAGCTGATGATGACGATGATGATGATGCTTGGAAATCCGGAGGCTGACTGGGAAGAAGTCTCTGTTCTGCTCTCCTGAGTTGTTCTTTTTCACTGAGTTCTGTTTGTCCTTCAGTTTCTGCTGGTGGAACGTATATTTGTGTATGTGATGGTGGTGGGTATCTAGAATGATGATCCGCACGCTGTTCAAAATTTTGGTTATATTCATAAGAGTATGGTTCGTCATAATTTGGCTCGTAATATTGATAAGGATGATTGGGGTATTGCGCATTTTCCTGGTGTATATACTCGTGGTCGAAGGGCTCTTCATGCATGGGATTTTGAGCTGGAGAAGGTGTGACTGGCCTCGAGTTTGAGAATTCAGCTGGCTGTTTACCGGTATGCCTTGCTTTGTTTCGAGCACTATCCGTAGTCCCAACAACAACTTCGAAAACACAGGCAACCACGCTCTTTTCTCGCCTAATGTGATCCGTGTCAACAATGCTACCTCCAAAGGCAGCCAACATGCTGGCATTCCCTTCCGATCTGTTACCTGTGCTTCCATAGGCGGCAGGTAGGCTAACGGTTCCAATGCGTGGTACATGTCGTTGTTGACCGGCTAATTTCCCTCCCAGATCAACTACAACTTCAACTTGGTATTTGAAGTTTACCATCTGGCCAGGCACGCCACTTATAGTTGGGAAGCAGTCCTCGGGAACTCTGATAGATGCTGTGACGTGCGACGTCAAAGTTGAAGGGTCAACAATGAGTGGCGCAAATGTCTGCGATAGATCTTTTCGAAAGACACTAGTCGATCCAGCGGAGCTTAGTGACAGACCACCTAAGCCAGTCTTAGATTTAGGATAATATTCTTCATGCTTAAGCCTTTCCGCTTCTTTCCCCTTGATATCCTTGAACAGTGACAGTGGAGGCGAAGAATCTATTCGGCCTTGTCTATAGAACGTAATTATAATTCCATGCATACTTTTGATAGCTTTGGTATGCTGTACCGTAATTTTAACGGGCAGATAATCTCCTGGTAAGCATCCGGACTTGAGTAGTTCGATTGTAGCTGTAATGGTTTTATCGTCTAGGGAGTTGCTGCTGTTGCCTTGGCTATCTCGAGTAGACCGTGCCGATGATGGAACGGGTCCCAACCGAAAGCTGAGGCCAGTACTACTACTGATCGTACTGTCTGTACTGAAAGTGCTTTGGACATCGCTTTGCGCCGGGCTTCGGGGTTGTATTTGGTTATCGAATACATCCACTTGGCTCACAGAGTCATCCGGCCGCGGCGACGTAGCTTCTGTTGTATCACTAATGGATCTTGTGTCCGCATATTCGCGGGATGGAGGGTGATCTTTTGGCTTAATGGACTTCTTCCTCTTTGCTCGTCTCGAGATGGGTTCCAGTGATATTGTTCGAGGTCGGGGTGGGCCCAAGGGACCAACATCTACTCTCTCAACCAGCTCAACCTTCCTTTCGCACATCGAGGTCGCAGCTATTGTAGTTGGCCGGGTAATCGTCGAAGAGATCTGATATGATATCGTTCCCCTTTCAAACTAATCACATTCATTAGTCCAAGTCGCATTGGAATTTGCTCAAAAGTTGCCTACATCGACGCTCGTAGGAATACCCTTGGTAGGAAATTCCAGTTCGAAATTAAATCTATATACTCCAGCATCAAGTCTACCTTCACCACATAATATAACTTCATCTTGGAAGAGTGAGCAATAACCATTCCCAAAGTATTGTGACTTCATAGGATTGCCCGAGGCAAACGTCACTGTATCTGGCAGAGGTTCGTTCGCGCCATTGGCATTCTTGTAGACGTGTATGAAGCCATGCAGGCAGACAGTGAGGTGAGTAATCCGTACGGGTTTGACAACAGTTAATACCACGGCACCCCTTACCAGATCACCCGGTGCATATCGCCGATGAGGTTCAAGTGGTTCGATATGGAAGTCGGCCAGGTTGCGCGTTCGGGACTTCAATGGGGCAGTCAATCTAGAAAACAGAGAGCGACCTGTCGATGCGGTCGGCGACGACTGGGCCGTTGAAGTGACATTCGCGCACATGCTAATATGATATGTTCGCGGTGCCAAGTCTTAAATCGTGTCTGCCAAGTACTGGGAAGGAATTGACGGAAAGTCGCACGCAGAATATTGGCAGAACTGCAAATTCCGGGCGACTGCGGGGGAAACAACGACAGTTACCAATGCTAAGTCGTTATAATAAGAAGTGAATCAAGATGCATGGCCAATGCTTGAGTGTGGAAATTGAGTAATAAATAATAGTAATAGTAATAGTGTAATAATAAATGGCAAAATAATAAATATATAAATAAATATGAATATAATAGTGAATCGAAATACGAATGGGGTTTTGTTGATGAAGGATAGTTGGGTCAATCAATCAATAATGATGGGTTGACTGGTAAAATAAAAGACGGAAAATCGGGAAGACTAATGGTTTTAGGTCTCTGATATTCTTGAGCCTGAGACTGACTTAATGACTCTTTTTCTCTCTTAGAAGGATCTGGGATGGGAATATGGGGATATTTTTGTGAAATTGTGATTTGTGATTTGCAACCAGGATTTGCAATCTTCTTCAATGAAGAGATGAATGAATGAGTGGGTGAGCGAGTGAGCGAGTGAGCGAGTGAATGAGTGAACGTTTTGTCGGTCAAAACTCAAAAGATTTCAAATGCACCTAGTAAGTTTTTTCGTACAAAGTAGGTACCTAGGTAGTTACTCGCAGTAGTTCCTCAGATTAGAACTTGTCAATGTTTTACCAATGTTCATAAATTGTCCGAGTCCGAGAGAGCAGGTCGGGTACTAGGTAGAGGAGGGAGCGAGATAGGTAGGTAGGGAGGCAGGCAGGCAAAGTATGAGGGTAATCAGAACAACGAGTACAACGAGAGTATAATGATTCTTGTACGTGTATAGGAATGGTACCCAGGTAGTTTCTGGGTACTAGGTATTGATTGATATGAAGGGTGGGGGAGGACTTGAAAGGGAGAGCAAGCGGGATGCAACTCTTTTTTCTTCATGAGAATGCGAAAGAACCTTGGAGTACCAGGAATAATACCTGGATGTAGAAGGTTTCGAAAATCGACCTTCTTTTTGGTTTAAACAAAAGTATGTTTTAATTAAGATTCGTGATAAAATTGGGTACAAATCGTGGAAGCCGTGTAGCCCAGACAAATTTGAAGGGGTTCAAGAGGGACCCGGAGAAGGTCCTTACGCGTTGCAGAAAGCTTGAATTTGCTCAGGGGTCCTAGGTCCCACAGTCCACAATGATCCAGTCCACGATACAGTTTGGGCGTGCCAGTGGTGTATGGTGGGTATTGGCGTGTATGTATTCTCTGAAACCTGGCAATCTGATACTCTTCTTTCACTTATAAGGCTGAGGGATAAAAGGAGTTGAGTGGCTATTTGAGGAAGCGGTGGTGTTATATCATAGGACGTAAGAAAATGCTTAGTAGGTAAGAAGCGTGCGTAGAAAATGGTAAGATGTGTATGTCCCTGGTGAGAAGAAGACGAAGAGCAGAAAACTCGAGGGAAAAACGAAAGGGAAAAACGGAAGGAAATGAAGGGCATTACATTATCTACCTACCGATGCATACTTGTTCGGCTCTAGGGATATCGGTTTTGGATGATTACTATCGGGAAGCGGGAGGAGTATATCGGTCCAATGCAAATTTCATGTGTATACAATTGTCAGCCAACCATTCTGTATGTCAAAACATACTAATGAAGGGTGTACAGCATGTAACATTGTAGCATTGTAACTTTCGGTAACTTTTCGGTACAAGTGAGTAACGCTCGATGAACAGCTAGTGAAAGGGGATGAGTTCAGTAGGGCTGGATTGTTCTAGGCGTCGAGGAAGTGATCAACGTATACGAGCAAACCATATATTATCCACGTCGCTTGCCATCAGCCAGCCTGCTTGCTCATCATACTGGTACTCTTGCATCCCTTATAGTCTCGTGAGGGACCTAGATACCGACAGTTCATTTGGACTGTAACCTGATTCCGTGATGGCGTCTTACTCGACACTTTGCGAATCACCAAAGTGTATTCTCATTTGTCATCTCTTTCGGGATCCGATTCTTCCTGGCCTAGCTATAGGCTTCCTTCGATTCACACGGGAACTCATCTTTTAGCTTGAGATTTTGCGTTGGTTTACTATTCATCATGCATAGCACTATCACGGATTCGTATTTTCGAGTATATGCACTCAGCCATATGAAGCAATTTGTATCGAAGGTTGAACCGTTGGAAAAGGTGATAGGGCACACGAGAAGCGAAAGAGGATATATTTGATGCAACACAATGACATTTCTTCGGTCTATTGGGCTAATTGGTGGATTCCCTCGGTGCGGGGTACAATTTGGTTAAATCCCCGAGTCCCGTTTGTGACATTGAAGATTGTTGCCCAGCTGGTCCCTCGAAAATCGCGATCAGCCTAAGATTAGGGAAAAAGCTTGTCTAGTCCTTCCCAGGCATTTTCTCGCTTTGGGCTGTACTTGCATCTGATATGGCAAAATTTTCAAGTAGCCAAGTGGAGATGTTGGGGTTTGCGTACATGTCACTTCTGTAACATGAATAATGTTTCATCAACGTATCATCAAGTTTTCGAGTTGGAAATAACAAACGAACGAACAAACAGCTCTCAAGCAATCGAATGATTAAGGTTAATGTTCGGATTGATCAACGGTTTCCATCCACGCATACCAAACCACTTGATATCTGATCACATTGTCCTCCATATCATATTTCGTAAAAAGCTGACGACAACAAAACATGAAGCTATACCGGCCAGACCGAGTAATGATAATCGCAAGCCAGTAGTACCACTTCCACCATATTACCTTCCGATAACTCGAGATTGTCCAAGCAAGTAGAGCTAAGAAGGATCCACTAATTTGGGACCGCTAATTCTTTCAACCCTTCCCCGACTACATAGTCCTCGCCACATGCTCGATACATGATCTCTCCAGCTTGAGCTCGGTCTCCTGTCAAGCTGACCAAGAATGATTCAAGTGATTCAAGGTTGTCGGTCCATCTTAAAGTGCTCTCCTTAAGTTTGTTTGTTTCCTCCATTTTTCGAAAGATCTCAGCAGGATCGTTATCACTGTAGAGATCCAATTCCTTATCAAGAGCGTCGTTCTCCTTCACAAGAGCTTCATAGGCGTCCATCAAAGCGTGTCTGTCTGATCCACCATCGAGGAGCATTTCATCGTCCTCTTGACGTTTTGTCATTTCCTTTTTAACCTCTTGTTCAGCAATCGCAATTGTAGCCAATAATTTAATTTCCTCATCCTTCAATTTGTTGATCAGATTTTCTCTGCTCTTCTTGGCATCTGAGGTAAATGACCAATACCAATTGCCACTTCCAATTTTCTCCACGCGGATCAAATTCTCGTCTGTGAGCGCTTGGATGTATTCTTTCACTAGCATGCCATTGATCGAGCCGACAGATGGGAGTAGTTTCTCAAGTTCTTTAAAGGAATAGACTCCCATGGAGGTTCGAAACCACTCCAGAATCTTTGCCTGCTTGGCTGCGGGTGGTAGATTCTTGGGAGCCTTTATAAATGTCAATCATTTTGTTTCATCTATTTTGGTTGACATCTTTGACAGTCAGGGTTGTGTGGAGAAACTTACCATTATCAAGGAGGGAGACGATCGTTGTGGCAATCAAACTCTTGTCAAAAGTCCGTCGGGAAAATCTGTTTCGTGATGAATCGTAATCCAGATAAAGGTCGGTGATGATTATGATAGTTTATTGTACGCGCAAGGTTGATGATATCCTGGGGTTGAGGGTTGCAGTCTAGTTTCATGGTCAATAATTAATCAATGTTGGTGAAGAGGGATACTAGGTAGGCGGGTACAAGAAAAACTGAGAAAGGGTTTAAACTTCACCTTTGCAGCACAAATTCTGCCAATACAAGCAGGTGTTATATTACCACAACCTTTAAATTCCTACCTAGGTATTCAGTATATTGGGAAAATTACATTCAATATGAGACGTCGTCGGAGTTTTCTATCACAATGCAATCTACTCATCTAACTGATAAATGCAAGATCATCTGCTCTGAAAGACTTATCAGTTTGCTTTGTTTTGGACAGCACTGGCGGAGAAAGACGAACACCTTCTTCTGACATTTTAACTTTCTGCGCAATAGATCCAGCTAGAGATTATACTATCACTTATATAATAATCGATAACGAAGATGTTCTACCTAGCATGCCTAGTAGGTGTCCAAGATCAAGAAGTATTCAATACATCCACTCAATACCTTCGCAGTCATTTATTTATCTCGTCTTCTCAACGTGTTCCGTGATTCCATCCTCTTTCTCTATCACCGCTTCTTTCACTGAGTTCATCTTGCTAACTTTAGCATCGTTTCCCTCAATGACCAAAGCTACATCTTCCAGACTTGTTCCCTTCGTTTCAGGACAAGCAAAGTACACCACGACAAATTCGACGGCAATCCATGCTACATAGAAGAAATAGAACTTCCAGCCAAATCTTGCAAGACCTAATGGGTTCACATAGGTATTGAATGCACCCGCTAAACCCGTAACTAACCAAAATAGTGAAATGCCTTTGGCACGCAACGTGTAAGGCAAAATCTCAACCACATAAAGCATCATGGCACCTGTCCATCCCAAGTTGTGTACTCCGCTGTACAGATATATAAAAGCAACCGAAGCATAAGAAGCGGATTTGGATCCAGTGTGAGTGAACACACCAGTAAGGATGGTGATTATTGTAAAAACAAGCCACATCAGACCCATTGACCAGAGCAAAAGAGGTCGACGACCTACTCGAGCAGGTAGAAACGCAAAACCGACAGAACAAGCAAAGGAGAACATTTGGGAGGTTGCAGTGATGAGAGTTTGTTGGAGTGTAGTTGTGATTCCAACGTCGTCGAGCATCTGGAGATTGTTAGTGGTGTCAAAATGGTTAGCCCGAGATGTTCTTACTGTATGTAAGTAGTATGAAACTACGCCATTTCCTGACCATTGCTTGCAGATTCCAAAGAACTATGGATGTTTATCAGCATTTGGTACATCTCGAATATTTTCATCGTTGCTGTACCGCCTCGAGTGAATACAGAATAAGAGACTCAGGGCTCACAATCATAATAAACATTCTCCATTGGTTTCCTTTACCTTTCCATATCTCACTCCACCTCGATTGTTTTGCTGAGATCTCTAACTCGATTGTTCCAACTATCTCCCTGTATTCGAACTGTACGACCTCATCTTCTCGATCTCCATTGGCATGATACTTAGACAATACATCCAAAGCAGCATCTTCACGACCTTTGCTTACAAGCCAACGAGGTGACTCGGGAAGAAAGAAGATACCAATTGCCTGGCCGACAGAGGGCAAAGCTTGAAAGATTGAGGGAATGCGCCATGACCATGTGGAGTTCAATCGAAATGTACCTATCTGTTGTTAGTATCTCGCTCTCAGCATGTGCAGGCTATAGCAAAACAAGCCTACCAAAAGTTACCCAGGCAGCGATGATCGAGCCCATTGAGTATTGGGTATTTGAAAGCGCAGTCGCGGTCGCACGATGATCTATTTTCCATTAGTACCTCGCAGTTTGGCATCGAACCATGCTCGCCTCCTCTCAGGAGGACTTACCCGGATACGCAAGCTCCGCTACTAATACAGGTCCAATTGCTCCAACAACCACTCCTCCAATCCCTAATAGAAGTCTACCGACGATGAACATACCAGCTAAGTTTCCATCAGCCTTTGTCTTACAATGCTCGGCCATGTATTCTTTCTCTATCTTGTCATATCTTCATTTTCCACATATTCCACCTCTTTATGGCCACGCGAATATAAGATGAATCAAACATACCATTAATGGCTCCGGTGCAAAGAGCTGTTCCAAGTATTGCAACTACACTACCAAAGAACAGCGCCATTCTCCTACCAAACCTATCACTTAGCGGCGTGATAAAGAATACTCCCAAGACATTTCCCACCCAATAACTCGCCGACAAAATACCTAAGAGTGAGCCCTTTGGGTTATGGAATTCTGTTAAATCCCTTCATCAGCCACATCTCCTATTTCAGTGCAATCTAGTATAGTCCTTCCATGAACAATAAAACCACCTTCAGAATACGCTTCTTCTTTTCAAACCCACAACTCCCTCTCATCACCACCAAGTTCCAAACATGAAGAAAGAAAAGAGTTGCATCCAGCGAACAAAAAAGTAAAGATGCTAATTACCATTCTGCCAACTCTTCAACTGCTGCACATTGTTAATGAGACTAGCATCATAACCCTGCACATATTCACTCATCAACGGTATCATGATAAGGAGATTGAGTTTAAGCAATCCTCGGTCGTGCCACCAAGGACCACGTTTATTCGTTAAATGAGAGTTGGAAGCGAGAATATCTCTGTCGACGCGAGGGGCTTTAGTCGGAAACATCATTTTTGAACACGATAAAGAGATGCCCAGGAAGATTAGAATGAGAGATCGTTTGAATAAGCACATAGGATGCACATGTGTATTATATTTCATTTCACCACGATACAGCTGTCCCACCCCGTCTCTGCATACAGGCCATGTCAAAGCTGCAATGCTACCTAGCTAACCCTTAATATCCTATCCTATCCCGTCGTGCCCTACCACTAGATAACTATTTTTGCATATTATGTCGTGTCGTATCAAGGCAATGCGTAAGGGAACTGCAAATCATCCCCACGATAACAAAGTTCACATCCAATAGGGGATACTGCACAATTCGCTTATCGGGGATATTTATCCGGGGATTGCGGGGTAGAGTATTTTCAAGCTTCGGCAGGTGATGAACCGACTGGGGGTTTATATGCGAAGGACAGGGGATTGGTGGGATATCTCGGGGGAGATGTTCATGCATGAGAGTTTTGGGGTCGGGAGCCGAGGATCGATTTCTCGACAGGTATCGGTATTGCGTGTGTGCATGCACCAGTATCGTGATGGAGGTGGGGATATGTATGTGTGGGATCAGTTGTGAGCTTTATATCAGTATCGAAGGTCATGGCGGTGGGGATTTTGTTTTCCAAGTTGTTTGGAGTAGCTTGCTTGACTTTAGTCAAATATCTAACTCACAATGGGACTTCCCAAACCTAGCATTTCAACACTCGGGCCGGATCCCAAAAGAACACATAGAATCAACGCAAATTCCTTCCAACAAAACGCAATTACCACTGTTAATGGATGGCAGTATGTAGCATTCTATACCGATCATCCTACGTCCACAAAACGGAATGCTTGTATGATGAATCTAGGTAGAAGAAAAGTCTCACCTACGCATTCGAAGTGGGAGATATTGAGTTTCCACGACTATGAACAGGTGGTTGATGATGGACATAATACGATATCTATCGGTATCTGTGGTGGAGATGGAAGTATACACATAGCGTTCGATCATCATTGTGATAGGTGTGTTATTATTATTGGAAAAAAGTTGAGTAGTGCTAAGAAATGTTAGATTGAGATTTAAAATTTTGAAACGTAAAGATTCGAAAAAATACCCAGAGGATTTCAATGTGTGGAATGCATCTCTGTTTTCGCAAACGCAAGATTATCTTCCTGGCATTGCACATAATAAACTGATGGACGAAGTCACGTATCCTCGATTCGTGAACGTGGATGATGATCTGTTATTGACGTATCGTATTGGCCAGTATGTATTTTCTAATACAAATTCATCTGCACATGAGTTTAATATGAATGCAGAGCAGGATTAGGATCAGATATCCTTTACCGCTACTCGGGAGAGTCTTCCACTTATACATATTTGGGCCAGCACCTTACTGGTGTTTCTAACAGTCCATATATAAATGGTCTTGATTATCAAGATTCGCGACTTTATCTGTCATGGTGTTATCGAAACTTCATCCTCTTCGAATCTTCCACAGGCACAGATGCGCATAAACAACAAGCAGGGCCCAACGGGCCCGAGAATAACAATGATCTGAATTTTGCTTATTCGGAAGATGTGGGCAAGACGTGGAAAAGTTCGGATGGAACAATCTTGGCCGTACTGGATGGAAAGGAAGGAAACACCATCTTGCCGCAGTCCAAGGCGAGAGTCTTTGAGATTCCCATGGGAAGTGGGATCTTGAACCAAGAAGCTCAAGCGGTGGATCGGAAAGATGGATTCTGGGTTTTGAACAGGGAAAATTCTGCTGGCGAGCAGCAGTGGATACTTTATCACCGTGATTGTACAGGTAAAGCCGCAATACTGATCAAATTGTGTTGAGGACTTTGTACTAATGTATATTAGGGGGGTGGACGAAGAACGCTGTCCCAATGAATGGCATAAACAAGCCTACCGAAATTGGCTCGAGAGGAAGCATAGCTGTTGATAGCAAGAATAACGTATACCTCGCTTTGCCTGGAAATACAGATTCCACCCTCAGCATCGTGAAGGTTCATAATAAGGATGGACAAGTATTCTTTGACCTTGTGTGGAGTGCATCAGGATTTGATGGCGAGCCTTCAGTCGAGATACAAGAGGTGGAAGGAAGTGAGAATCTGTCCATCTTTACAAGAACAGACAAAAAAGAAGATGGACTTCGAGATGTAGTTGTCTTGGATTTCGACCTTGATTCCACACCAATCTAGGTAGACTTCCAAAAGCACTTCATGAAAGGAACGAATGTATCCCCCTCACCTAGACACATGTCATGTCCCGCCTTCAGTCGCTTGTAATATATATATCGTGTAGATGGTCATGAGTAAGATTGAATTACCCTCCGATTCGAGAATCGAAACATCTTCCCTTCAAAATTCTTTATGGGTACGCTTCAAATTAACTTTCACATCTACTCTGCGCCAAAACATTTCCAAGTAAGAGCTGTTTGAGTACCTACCTAGTAGATAGCTACGGATAATCTCGGACGGCCCAGAAGGATATGTATGAAAAATATGTATGAATACGATGGAATGCGATCAAGATATTCCAGCATAGGAAGCTGACCAGAAGTGGAAGGTGGAGGATATATTCACGCCTCAGGCATGAGGAACATTTCCCCACTTCACATGCGCAGTGGTCAAGGTCGCATAGAGGAAAAAACGTAGAATCATAAGGACAAACAAAAGACGACAAGGACCGCAAAACTCGACCCTGATGGATCAATGACTTGCACATCGACATATTACGAGATCTTAGACATCCCGTCGTCTCTTCAAAATGCAACACACATTCCGGTAGCAACTTTGCGAAGCGCGTATCGACGTGCACTCCTTCGAAATCATCCTGACAAATCTCAAAGCCAAGAACAAGGTCATACAAACAGACCCCAATCGCTTTATACTATTGATCAAATATCCGTGGCTTTCTCTCACCTATCGGACTCCAAACTACGAGCACAATATGACAAGGAACTGAGATTGCAGAATCGCTCTATAAATGGGGCAGGACAAAAGGAAGGGGAAGTTTTCCGAACGGGCGTTGAAGTTGTCGATTTGGATGATTTGAATGTCGAAGAAGAGAATGGTATATGGTATAGAAGCTGTAGATGTGGAGATGATCGAGGGTTCTTAATTCGAGAGCAAGATTTAGAGGAGGCAGCTGAAGATGGTGAGATCAGTGTGGGATGCAAGGGATGTAGTCTCTGGCTCAAGGTTCTTTTTGGTGTAATGGAGGATCTGCCAGACGATAAGGGATCGGATGTATAGATGCAGGATAATAAAGGACAATGTAATCAATGGTACCTGGGTGCTGTCAAAGGCTGGACCACAATATGAAGGCCCGACAATGGAGAGCTTCGAATAAAGAGTCACTGAGTTCACTGGCCAGAAAGGAAAGAGCTCAAGATCTGAATAAAGTGTCGATTAAAATAGCATTGGGAAGCTTTCAAGGCCATGGCAGATAAAGATACCTTGCTTCTCCCTACTGAGAACTGTTACGAGCTGCTACGAGCATGCATGGATACCAACATCGATGTCTATATAGACATTGACTTGGCTTGCGTCAAAAAGTATGTACCGTCTTCCTATGACTTCCAATCAAAGCTCGAAAGCTATTGGTCGCCTCAAACCTGCGGTGGTTGTAAATCTTCTTCTTGCAACAACCAAATTCAACCTTGACAGTCAATATTGGAGCACGTCAACATATCGTAGGAGAAAGATCGATATAATGTTGTTCGAACCGTTTAAGTTGCTTGAAGAAGGAAGCAAAAGAAGCGGGCGAGAAGAAAAGTTTTGTATAACGGTTAAATGGAGAACATCACCCAATGCGGCTTAATGCACTCTGAGCCTTCCTCACCGCTACCCAAAACAGTAACTGGATAAAATAAATCAATGATGAGTATGATGATTTTTGAAGATATATCCTTGTACGAATAGAAGAGTACGAGATTATTTGGTGCCACTCTTCCTTCTAAGGGTCAAAATCTCACATCTCACTCGCATTAGTGAAGGGTGACAAGCAGGTGCTTTAACCTTAGCCGTTTTCCCACCTTTGGTATTGATTCATCCTTCTCGTCCTAAACGGCATCACCTGGCCATTCCTGTACACTTTCTGCCACTGCCTCTATCCACTGGCATTCATCAAAGCTTTTGCTTGCAGACCCAGAAAGACCCCACCTTCCTCAATCGTTGGTAGTTCGATCCTTCCTTCCCAGTCATTTCGATCGTTCATTCTTTTGCCCAGGTTGCAAAGGTGGTGCGTGTCATATTTGTACATACGGCATACGGCATACGGCATACGACATACGGCAAAGCATAGCATAGCATAGCATAGCAAACGGCGTTGTGTGTCTTCGTGGGTGTATTTTGTAGCTTCCCTCCCTCACTTCTTGCTTCGATGTCAATGCGTATCTCCAATACCCTTACATCCTCTTTTACTCGGCCTCCAGCCAGTGTTTTCCTTTCCTCAAGTAGAGCACAAAGAAGATTACCAATTGTTAGCAGAACCTTTCAAAGTCTTTCAATTAGTTCATTTCGGAGCTCCGCTTCATTGTATGTTATACCCCGCTATTTCTTTCATTCCGTGGAGCTCTTTCCGTTCATTGTACAAGCTTGAATATCTACCCTCGTGATTCCTCAAGCAAGTCAACTGAGGCAAGATCAACACACTTAACCCCAAATTTGCTTTTGATTTATTCACTATCATCTTAGTGCGCAGTGTTCATAAGCTCACCGATTATTCAAATTTAGACTCAGTCCTGCAAAAAACCGTCCTCAATTATCAAACAACTTTCGAAATACAACTTTAACTACCTCGGCAATCCGCCATTGTTCATATAGAAGACACAAGATGTGTAGAGGTGTACATGCCGGAGAGGAGGTAGAGAGCGCAGGAATCGATGTTACCAAGGGAAGAGAGATCTTGCCAGCAAATGTCATTCCAAGACACTACGATCTCACATTAGAGCCGGACTTCAAGAAGCATACCTATGAGGGTACTGTTATAATCGACTTAGATGTTGCTGAAGATACTACTTCTATCTCCCTCAACACTTTGGAGCTTGAGATACACAGCACAAAAGTCATTTCTGGATCTGAAGCTGTAAGGTCAGTGATTGATTGACAAGCCTGTTGTGATATGCTTCCTCAATAAATCTAACATTCTACAGCTCTACTCCAGATGTCTCTTACAATGAGGACAGCCAGACCACAAAGGTTGCTTTCAAGCAAACCATCCCCAAGGGAACAAAGGCACAAATCGAGATGAAGTTCACTGGCCAGCTCAATGACAAGATGGCAGGATTTTACAGATCAACTTACAAGAATGCGGATGGATCTGAGGGTATTTTGGCCACAACACAAATGGAACCGACTGATGCCCGAAGAGCTTTCCCTTGTTTCGATGAACCTGCATTGAAGGCAGAATTCACAATTACTTTGGTCGCGGACAAGCACCTCACCTGCTTGAGTAACATGGACGTTGCCTCGGAGACTGAGGTTGAGGGAAACAAGAAGGCTGTCAAGTTCAACAAATCGCCACAAATGTCGACGTATCTTCTCGCCTTCATCGTTGGAGAACTCAACTACATTGAGACCGACAAGTTCAGAATTCCAGTCAGAGTTTATGCTCCTCCAAATCAAGACATCGAGCATGGAAGATTTTCATTGGATCTTGCAGCACGAACCCTGGAGTTTTATGAGAAGACTTTTGATAGTCCATTCCCGTTACCAAAAATGGTAAGTTCTTGCATCAGTTTTCCCACTCCAAATGTTCTAACTTCATTCGTAGGATATGGTTGCCATACCAGATTTCTCCGCAGGTGCCATGGAGAATTGGGGCTTGATTACTTACCGTGTTGTTGATCTCCTTTTCGACGAAAAGACCAGCGGTGCGTCTACAAAGGAACGAGTTGCGGAAGTCGTCCAGCATGAGTTGGCTCATCAATGGTTCGGTAACTTGGTTACAATGGATTTCTGGGATGGCTTGTGGCTCAACGAGGGTTTCGCAACATGGATGTCATGGTATTCCTGCAACATCTTCTATCCAGAATGGAAGGTATGGCAAAACTACGTGACGGATAACCTGCAAAGCGCCCTCGGTCTTGATTCTATTCGAAGCAGTCATCCAATTGAAGTACCAGTCAAGCGAGCCGATCAAGTCAACCAGATCTTTGATGCTATTTCGTATTCTAAAGGTTCTTGTGTCCTTCGCATGATTGCAAGCTATTTGGGAGAAGATGTGTTTATGGAGGGTATCCGCCAGTATTTGAAAAAGCACGCTTATGGCAACACCCAAACTGGTGATCTTTGGGATGCATTGAGCAAGGCGAGCGGTAAGGATGTCTCGGCAGTTATGGACATCTGGACAAAACAGGTCGGATATCCTGTTGTAAGTGTCACCGAGAACGAAGATGGAAAGAGCATCCACGTCAAGCAAAATCGATTCCTGAGAACAGCAGACGTCAAGCCTGATGAGGATGAAGTTTTGTACCCGGTTTTCTTGGGTCTCCGCACTACGAGCGGTGTTGATGAGGAACTGGTTTTAGACAAGCGAGAAGACACTATTCAGGTCCCTGCAGATTTCTTCAAGCTGAATGCAGACCATACTAGCATTTATCGAACATCATACACTCCGGAGCGACTCGAAAAGCTAGGCCAAGCTGCCAAGGAAGGTCTTCTTACCGTCGAAGATCGTGCAGGAATGATCGCAGATGCAGGAGCTCTCGCTTCAGCTGGATACCAGAAGACTTCCGGTGTTCTAAACTTGTTCAAGGGCTTCACCAGTGAAACCGAGTTTGTTGTTTGGACCGAAATCCTCGCCCGTTTAGGCAGTATTCAAACTGCTTGGGTCTTTGAGGACGAGAAAGTCAAAGATGGACTCGAGTCATTCCAAAGAGAGCTTACAAGCGAATACGCCCACAAATTTGGATGGGAGTTCAAGGACAGCGACGAGCATGTCCAGCAACAATTTAAAACTCTACTTTTCGGTAGTGCTGGTATATCCGGTGACAAGGTCATCATTAAAGCTGCACAAGATATGTTTGCTAAGTTTGCAGCGGGTGACAAATCTGCTATTCATCCAAACATCCGCGGTAGCGTTTATGCTATCGCTTTGAAATACGGTGGCAAGAAAGAGGTATGTTCAGTCGTTTCAGAAAATATATGGTAGCTAATATTTTACAGTACGACATCATCCTAGATGCTTACCGCAACTCCACAAATAGCGATGAGCGTAACACTGCCCTCCGTTCTTTGGGACGAGCTAAGGACCCTGAATTGATCAAGCAAACTCTTGCTCTACCATTCGGCGGTGAAGTCAAGGAACAAGATATTTACCTCCCCATTAGCGGACTTAGAGGTCATCCAGAAGGTATTGAGGCATTATATGTTTGGATGACCGAAAATTGGGAAGAACTTCAACGACGATTACCAGCCGGTTTGTCCATGTTGGGAACGATGGTTACTATTTGCACATCGGGCTTCACCGGTGAACGTAACCAGAAGCGAATCGAGGAGTTCTTTTCAAAGAGAGATACCAAGGGCTTTGACCAGGGTCTGGCACAAAGTCTGGATAGTATTAGAGCAAAGAGCGCTTGGGTTGAGAGAGATAGAGAGGATGTCAAGGCCTGGGTGGAGGCAAATACTCAAGTAAAGAGTGAGCTTTAAGTAGCTCTAAACTACGTACTGGAACATTTGATGTATAAATATCAATATCAAGATTGACAATAGACTGGACTGGCTGAAAGCAATCCAATATTCAAAATGAAGACAGTGTTCAAACCAACGAAATTATTCAATAAAATTCAGATATTCAAATCTTCGGAATGCAGCTTCGACTTTTGGGCTAGTAGATGAGTAAGACGCAGAGGCATTAATAAGATTGTAGACACTTCCTCGTCGAAAGCCCTATGCAATTTTTAACTCGCAGATAAAGAATCCTGTTTTCGATCCGAAATGTGTTTCAGCGCAGTGCAATTATGCCCCGCTCATGACGATCCCTGTCAGATTTGGACCAAATGATATGTAACTTCCTGCTTTACCTTACAGCTGTATACCTTCTCTCTTTGGAATTTAAGCTTGCATGAGCCACAAAATTTCTTTTCTGTTTGACGTATGACGCGATTCTCCCGAGGAATCAAAAGATGAAGATGTACCAAACCTATCATCACGAACTATGCACTTGGCGAGTTAAAGAAGTCAGCGTGTCATCTGATCTTCCAGTCCATGATCCCAGTATGATTGATTTTTAGTATTTTGGGCTGAGAAATGATGAATTGTGTTGTTTGTGTATCGTAGGGCAAACTTGCCGCTGCTCCAGCCACATGGCGTGTTGTACTTGATTTTGATATTGAGACACTTAATAGCTTGATGGAGAGTTGTGTAACGTAACTGTCATAGTTCGGCTGTTTGGTTGCTGGGTTTGTTGGATATTGTGATTGGTGTTTGAACGGATTAGGATATGATATGATATGGGATGAGACGAGATGGTGTACTAGGATCCAAGAAGTCACATGAATGATTTGGGGGGTTTGAGGCATAGGTAGAAGAAACAAAGCCTCAGTATTTACATCCCTGCCCGAAACCCACAAATCTTGAAGTTGTACACAGTTTATATGCTTCTTTTGTGCTGGGAGAGTGCGGGTAGATATCGTGTCTTCTGTATGTGTGGAAAACTCAGCTGACTTACCTCATTTGCTTTCTTCAGCCAGGGCGGGTGTTGTTGAGACGGCGTTGTAGAAAACATTTTCTCTGCAATATCTAGCGGAAAAAGAAAGCTGGAAGGGTGGAAAAGGAGAGGAAAGAGAAATATGCCCTGATACGTGGCATAATGGAAATATGTGAATGGTAAATACACATGACCTCGAGGTCTTTGATTTGACATCTGCGACTAGTGTTGCCAAGTGTAGCAACTCAGCTTGATAAAGTTTTCAGCCCTTATTTTTTGTTTTTATTGACGTAAAGAGGGTTGTAGTTTCTAGATCAACACTAGGTTGGCTTGGAAATGATATTTGCACTTGTTCTTTCATCACAAGAAATCCTACATCTACAGTCTGTTCAACTTTCGCACTCCTGCCTCCTCGAATCTACTTCGAGACCTCCACGCAAAACCCCAATCCTCTTTCTTCTGTGGGGATGTCTCAAAATTGTGCTCCAGATTCCACGTCCCCCAAAAGCTCCGAGAGTCAACCTTTATGGATTTCTATGTACAATTACTTCCGAAATGTTCCTATATAACCTCTAGGCATACCCCCACTGGGGGGCTTCCTGTTGAAATTTCAAGTATCTCTAGATTGAGGGGACACTAGTCCTTTCTGTCCCCCGCCCATTCCCATAGAAATACCTATTGCAAGCCGATAGTGGATTCTTAGGGTGAAATATATTCAAACAAATCCTAGCTTTTCGAACATTGAAAACCTGTCCTCATATTAAATGTGTCAATCCGGATATCCGGCTCTCCTAACACAAATTAGACCCTCAATTTATCAATGAGCCTTGTCATGATGAATCTCGAAATATGATCTAAATTACATCAAACATTCTGTGCGATGTCATCAAGATACTTGCTTTGAATTGAAGTTTGTAGATGAGTATGTTTGATGCGATTAGCTTCAAGAGAGTTACACCACGCAATGAGCATACTTGGTTGGCTAGGAAAAGACGCGACTCTGGATTTAGATGGAAATAAGACGTTGAACTGTAGTCTACAAGAGGACTGACCAAGTTTTCTTAGCGTCTACTGACATAGTTTGGGCCGCAAAAGCAGTGATACATCCGCGGAGACATGATGTTGATGCAGGGGCCATAACTGATAGCTTCGGCGTGGCCAAGATTATGTGCACATTCGAATCAAACATCGTCCTCAAAATTCTTTCGTTAATTAATCAATACACATTCTCATCTAAAACCAAGCACAAGATGGTTCAGACGCTAACAGTTGATATGCATGTCAAGTTTTCCTAAACTCAGAAGAGATTCGTTAACAGAATCTACATCTGGAAAGAAACATTTTTGAAGATTTATTGATTTCGGTGATTTCGGCGTGTGTACACTTTCATTCACGCCAAGATAGCTTCATAAAAAGCGTCGGAACAAGTTCCGCATTGAGAAGGTACACCCAATATCAGAAACCGATGATTTGAGGGGTCAATTGCGGGACAAATCCACTGTCACGGTATGGAACAAACCGTCGCGAACGGCTGGACTTCGAAATGTGTATCATCCCGTGTCTAGACTTCGGGGTTCGATTAAAGTTTCGAGGTACAAGTGGAAGCCTCGTTGAGTTCAAGGCTAGCACCTGTTCAAACTTCAAAGCGTTTGGCATCACGCTAAGATGGCAGATTACGACTGAACTCGTAAATTACGAGTTCAGTCGGCGTTTACTCGCTTGTGGCGATAGGAATAGATAGGAAACATGCGAAAACTGGAAGATAATCATCATAAGATTTTTGAATGCGGCTCGAGCATGTGATTACACGAATTGGCATCACTGGATTGTATGTAACTAGAAGGACTACTACCTGCAAAGTCTAACTTTGGTATATGCCGATGTCAAAGAAAATGCGCTATCCCTGCTTCGGTAGCTTCGGAAATTGTCCATTTTGCAATCAATCGAACATTTCTAGCTGATTTCTGTTGCAAAGAGCTTGTCTGTCAGGATCAAGCCATAGGATTTGCCCCGTCGGCTCTTTTTTCTGATAAAATGCTGATGCACAGACGTTGCCCTTAACTGGAAGGGCTCGGTACCGGTATCATCATAAGTGCCTAGCAGTGTTGAATAGAGTTTGTGGACAAAGTGTCTTTCTTAACGGCCTTGAAGGGGACCAAGCATCAATGAATGTTCTAGCTTCCCATGACTTACCACCGACGCAACTATTGAGCCACATCCGTGATAGAACGATGCACTTTAATAGGATTGCGCTTGAAGACATCCTTGCTTTTACGTGGAAAAAAGTATAACGATGCATCATACCGATCACCAAGTCAGCAATACATCCTTGAATCCCTTACACCCGAAGTCTGAGGAAGGCGAGAACACTTGAGCCGTTCTGTATCAAACTCGTCAACACTACAGTACACATTTATATCCATGTAGAATAAGAAACGATCATACAAAGTACCTAGGTATGTATAACATACCTCTCAAACAACTTCGAGATGATGCAGACCCATATGTCGTTTCGAATGATCTTCATACAAGTCGCATTGACACGAGTAACCGATATCCCTACATCTTACACAACCCTATATCTTACACAATCTTTTAAACCTCAAAAAAAATCAATTAAAAAACTTATATTAATTATAAAAAACTATATATAATAAGCAATAACTCAAATTAAAGCTGAAGAAAAGCTTAATATAATTATTATTATGAAAATTCATAATATCAATTATTTTATATTATATTGATAATATAAAGAATAAATAGCTTCTTATATTTCTGTTTATAAGAATATTTATCAATATCTTAATAAAAAGCAAGAAAAAAGTTTAATTAATTCAATTAATAAGTTAATATAAAGATTTATACTTTTTATAAATTATATAATTAAAAATCTAATAAAAAAGATTATAGATTAATTTATAGAGAAGAATTGAATAGTTTATTTTATTAAAAGGTATTTAATGTATTTTAAAAATTAATATCTCTAATATATTAATAATTTATATATTAAAACTAATAATATTAATCATTTTGAATATTTCTATAATCGAATTAATATTATTTTCAATTTATTATATAAAAGCTTTTATTAATCCTTCTTTTTTATTTATTTAATTAACAAAAGCAATTATAAAATATAATATATCTTTGTAAAATATATATAATTAGGATGAAAAAGGTTTTTTAATAAAATTGATATATTTTATGAAGAAAATAATAAATACTAATACTTATAAAAAAGTAAAGTAATAAAAGCTATATAAAACAAATTTCAAGAATTTATTAGTTTTTTAGTATATATCTCTATCAACAATATAGTTATATTATCTATTCTATTATATAAAAAGGAGTTGGGGAATCTTCAAGATATATAGATTGATAAGTTAAAAAAAGGAATAAAACTTATTTCAAAACTTTAAATAATAAATAATTATTTAATACTTTTAATTTTATATAGCTTCAAAAAGTATTTCAATATTATATATACTTAAAAATAAGCAAAGAATATCATTTATTAATTATAAATAATTATTCTGATTAACGTGGTTTAACAGTGGCTCAGCCATATCAGTGGGTCGGCCACTTCAAAATACATATAAAATCAGCCTTTTTCAATATTCATATTTTAATTATTAATTATTATTTTTGAAAAAGAAAAGAATATTAATTAATAATAAAAAATCGATTATTCAAAAATATAATTCTATTTTAAATAATTCTTTTCGATTTCAAAAAAAATCAAAATTGTTATGATTTTCGTTATAAAAAAGCTTTTTTTATAATAACTATTTTAAAAATTCTATTTTATTAAAACTAATTAGATTTTTATAATTTATATATAATCAAATACTTAATATTAGATTTTTAGAAAATTATATCAATAAATAAAGAAAGTGCACGGTTATACATAAATATATTTTATATATAAAAATGATGACCGACTTACTGATATAGCTGAGCCACTGTTAAACCACGTTACATCAATATAGAATTTATATCAAAATATAATAAATTAAAAATAATATCACTGATTTTATTATCTAATTCTATATATCAATTTTAACCTTTCGATTATAGCTTTTTCTTTTTATGTTTGATAAATTATAATATAATATTAAATAATTTATTATACAAAAACAAAGGATTA